TATCCGACAGGTCTTCAGATCGAACCCTTACCACTATACCGACCTACGACCGACAACAACAACTGTCAAAACACAGGTCACGGGTTCAAACACTCGGGGTCGACACAGATACTATACACAGGTAAGGTATCGAGCCCTGGGATCTGCACTCGCTACTGCTGACAGGTGAAAACCGTTTCACTCCCGCCGACCTAAATTCGAGGTCCTCCGAGAAGAACTCAGTCCAAGGCAGGACCTTTTCCTTTCTTATCTCTCTCATAGGCTCTAACTATGTCGGGAGCTGTCTCTAGAAGTTCGGTTCTCGTAAACCAGTGGTCGTCCTCTGGCTCCTGATAAGCAAATCGCACCTTATATTGTTGCTGTGGACGACCTCTACCTCCTGTTCTGAACACATCTTCACCTACGATGCCGTCAATGTCGTACCTGCCATCCATATCTGGAGGGATCATGGACCTCCTCGATGGGAACTGATCACTCATTGTGCAGGGCAACAACTTGGATGCATGGAAAACCGGGTAGGTGTGGAGGTGCGCTGGGATCTCTACTGTGTAGGACGGCCCATCCTCTTCGCCCTTGACTTCTAGGACTGGCCACGGTCCTCTATACGCAGGCAGTAACTTTTGCGAGATGTTCTCCTCAGGAGCAAACTCTTTAGACTTGACCCAAACTAAGTCGCCTACTTGAAACTGTGACGGGCGACGGTGCTTATTAGCTTGCTCTATCATTCGGTGTTGGGCCTTCCTGAGGTTCTCTATCACGGTAGCTAACTCTTTCTCGTGCTGTAGCGCAAACTCCCTAGGACCCTAGTACCGGGCGGTAGCCTCTGTATCTGATCCCGGTTAAGTCCTTCAAATGGTCTACGTGGTCTGAAAGACTTATGTAACTCGTTGGGAGTGCAACAGGTAGACAAGTGCACACTGTTGTTGTAGGCGTTGGCTACCTTTGGGAGCATCTCGTCCCAATTGACTTGATCAGGTCTAATATACATTCTCAGAACTTGTTGCAGGATCTTATGCATTTGCTCAGTCTGGTCGTTAGTCTCTGGGTGGCGGCCAGACGACATCAACAACTTGGAGTCATAGACTCTCATCAACTCCTGCCAGTTCTGACTAGTGAACCGGGTGTCTCTATCACTAACTATGGACAATGGGACCCCGTGCTCACTGACCCAGTGATCAAAAAACTTTTGAATTACTAACTTTGTACGCGCCTCTGAAGGCAAAGGAATAAAAACAACATATTTGTTGAATCTATCGACTACGACCATCACTTGGCTCTTACCGTGCCTACTCTGGACGCCAGCATCCATAAAGTCAATGGATACTGAATCTCCTGGCTGGTCAGGAATAGGCAAGGGTCTGAGGAGACCTAGCGGGGCACGCATAGTAGTCTTATTCCTCTAGCAAACTTTGCAACTGCGAACATACTCTATGCAGTCATTCTTCATCCCTGGCCAGGTGTACGCGTGCATTAGGTTGGCTAGAGTCTTTTGCCAACCAAAGTGTCCCTCTGTATCGTGACATTCCCCTAGGGTCAAACTGCGGATCTCTTCACTGTTGGGGACGCATAGTCTGTCCACCACGTTAGTCTTCTCGAATAGCAATCCATCAGTAGTGCGGTAATCTGGCTCGGTCTCTGGGGCCTCCCTGACTCTCTTGAGGAGGTCACTATAGATAGGGTTATGCGCATACGCCTCTCTAACTTTTTGCTGCAGGTCTCTCCCTATATCTAGATAATGGACTATAGCTCCAAAGTAGTCGGCTCTCCTACTTAGAGCATCCGCAACTACGTTATACTTCCCCTTGATTGGCTTGAGCTCAAAATCATACTCATCCAACTCTGCGGCCCACCTAGTCAACTTAGGTGTCATCTTGGCCTGTGTCTTCAACCATCTCAGCGTTTCATGGTCTGAGTAAACTTTAAAGTGCCTCCCAAGCAAGTAGTGCTTCCAGTGTTCTAGAGCTTGCCTGAGAGCGTAGAGTTCCCTCTCATAGGTCGATGTTGCCACCTTTTCTGAAGGCATCCTAGCAGACATGAACTCTACGGGCCTATGTCCATGGCCATCGTCTTGTTGTAGTACAACACCTATGTCGTACTGGCTCGCGTCAGTGGTGAGGACGAAAGGTAGGGACGGATCGACTACTTTGAGGACTGGGTACTCTATCAACGCCTGCTTTAATTTCTTCATGGCAGACGTGCAGTCCTTGTCCCACTTCCAGATTGCTTCTTTCTTCAACAACCTGCGAAGGGGTGCAGCGATGGTGGAGAAGTTCCTCACGAATTTCCTATAGTAGTTGGCTAGGCCTAGGAACGACCTCAATTCTGTCAACGTGCGGGGTGTAGGCCAATCTCTAATCGCTGCGATCTTGCTATCTTCGGGTTTGATGCCGTCTCCGTCTAAGACATGGCGTAGATACAACACTTGGGTCTTCGCCCACTCACACTTCTTCGCGTTGATATTGAAGTTAGCTTCTCTCAACTTTTCCAAGACCTGCCTCAGATGACCCTGATGCTCTTGGAGGGTCTTAAGTAGACTACTACAAATCGGTCTGACCACGGTCTAAACAAATCGTTCATGCAACGCTGAAAAGTCGTTGGCGCATTGGTTAGTCCAAAGGGCATCACTATAAACTCATAATGCCCATATCTAGTCTGGAAAGCTGTCTTGTACTGATCATTAGGGTGAACCTCTATCTGATGGTATCCGGACTTCAGATCTATCTTTGAAAAATACTTGCAACCCTGCACCCGATCTAAAAGATCATCTATACGGGGCAGTGGCTCTGCATTCTTCACTGTAATAACATTAAGACCCCTAAAGTCTATACACATTTTAAGCTCTCCCTCCTTCTTGGTGACAAATAGAACAGGTGCTCCAAATGGAGACGAACTGGGCCTAATCCAACCCTTCTCTAGGAGCTCGTCTAACTGCTTGCGCAGCTCCTCCAACTCTCACAGGGACATCCTATACATTGCTCCCTTAGCAGTCCTACTGCCATGTTTTATTTCAATACGATGCTGGATCAGCCGCGGTACTACTCCCGTTGGCGGCTATGCTAAGTCTGTAAACTCTTCCAGCAGCTTCGCAATAGCAGGGTCTATGGGCTTCTCCTCCTTAGGCTCAGTCACTGGCCTAACATAGGCTACAAAGACTTGTTCTTCTAGCTGCTCCTTCCTTACTAATCGTGCGAACGCAGGAGCGCTAAGGCAGCAATGTGCCAGGGAGTTGTCTATTCCGGACACATGAAACAGACGGGCGGTCTTGATTCCGCCTGATGGGTTAGGGAGCCTACACTCGTGCTCTCTCAAATGGAGCGTGGTCCCTGCTGCCTCTCCCCAGTCCATACCTAGGACTATGTCGAAAGGGAGGCTATCTTCTACGAGGAGAGTCAGGGAATGGATAACTTTCTCCACCTTCCCATCTTTCTCTAGGCAGAAGTACGCCTGGACTCCCTCTACGTAATCCTGTACTCGCATCGTGCAATTATCTGCGAGGATACTCACTACGGGGTCCGCTAACTTTTGGACTTTCAGCCCCAACTTCAACTTTTGCAGCGCCTTTCTACTTATATAGCTGCGCGTGGCCCCACTATCTACTAGGGCCCCTACTCTACGTCTAAAAATCTCTATGTCCACTAGAACTAGCTGTCCTTTACTCTCCTTCGTGAGGGAAGTGCCTAAAGAGACTCTGACACAAGCAGTCTCTGGGCAGCCATCTAGGCACCGGCCTGCAACCTCTGCCATAGGCGCATGTGGTGTGGGAGTTTCCTGCCGACTTGCGCTCATTTCCCCACATGGCCTTGTGGTAGGGGCAGTTGCTACCCCTACCGGCGGCTGCCTTTTGACCCCTGGGCAGTCGAACGGGCCTCTCTATACTTTGGACAATATTTGGTGATGTGGCCAGGGTCACCGCAATAGATGCACTGCCCCTGGTCCACACGTTGTTGCCATACGCGCTGGTCCAGGCCCAGATCTTCCCAAGGCCTGCCCTGAGGCAACCCTGGGTGCGATCCTCCTCTCCTATAGGGTGATCTATTCCCCCTATTGGGTGACCGGTTCCCTGAGTGGTTTTGCGGGGGACCTTGACCCCTTCCTCCCGCTTGGCGGTTTCCTCCTCTACCACAAACCCCCTGATCGCCCTGGGAACGGACCCCTGAGGCCCGGCCCCCTTGACCCTGGCCTCTACCTCCTCCTTGCGGCCTCCCTCCAGCCGCGACAGCAACGTAAGTCCTCCCCTGGCTCACACTACTGTCCTCCTCCTCTAGTCCCCACTCAATCTGCTCGAAGGGGACTTCGTCAACACTACCCTCATCTAACGTAAGGATTAGTCGATCCTTGGTCTTAACCTGACCGGAGATAGTGCGACCCTTCCACTTTTTCCCCTTGTCCAAGTCCTTGTGCCAGAAAGTGGAAACTGACATGGACCTCACTTCAAACGCCACCACTTCCCTGCTCAATGCGTCATAGGTCATGGTGGGCTGCTGGCTCTTCTCAAAGTAGTGCCCGCACAACTGTTCGGGCATAGCCCGGTAGAAAAGGTTGACCAATTGGGTCTCTGTGACCTCATGGCATGGAACAGCTACCAACTCGTCCATCACACCTTTGAGTGCCTTGGCACTCTTCCACTGACGAGAATGGGTAGTCTGCAACCTATCGGAGGCTTTGGTGATGCGCGAGATGTCTGCGAATCGTTCACGCAACAGCTTAAGGAAGTCAACGAGGGGGGTGAAGGCAGGATAAGCAACTACATCATCACTACAATTAGCGGCGCATACTAGGGAACGGGCAAAATTGGCGGCCTCCTCCTTCAGGGCATCTGGGGAAACTTTTTGCAGATGCACGTACGTTTTGACGTTTGCTTCCCGATTGTCAAAGTTCTCTTCCTTCTTCCCGCTGTAGGAATCAGGAAATTTGACCTTGACGGGCTCCCTACGGGGACGTACTTTCTCTTCCTTAGGAGCAGCCAGTTTGGTGCCCTCTATGGCGCCCGTACAATAACGCTCTGTGTATTCTAAACGGGTCTTTACTTATGAGGCCACCTGCGTCACTAACTCCCGCGCAAAGTCCCTGAAACCCGCGTGCATCGAGCGCAAAGCTATGTCCTGGCTCCTAATAAATTGGTATTGCTCTTCGTGAGCCTGTGCCAGGCGCTCTATATTTCTTGCCATGACCCCCATCTTCCCTAGGAGGTCCACCTGCGTGTCCATCTGGTCTTTCTGCCTTCTAACTTCGGCCAATTCTTCCGCCGCCTGACTCACCGCGTCCACCCTTGTTTTATTTTCCCTCATCAACCGTAATCTCCACTCCAACCTTTGTTCCTCCTCCATTGCCTGTCTCTTGAGTGGGTCTTCCTCTGCATCCCACTCCTTCATTGCTGGCTCTTGCTCGTCCTTAGGCACGTACATCAACGCCTCCTCTGCTTCCCCTAGGGATAAGTTAGCAACCCATTCTGAGATCTTCCTCTCCATTTCGTCTTCCTTGGTACCACTGGATTCTCCTCTTCTTCCTCCCCTTCGCCTTTCCAGTGGCGTCTCTTCTACCTCTTCCTCCTCTTCTACCGCTTTAAGCTTCTCCTCCTCTTCTTTCTTCAGTCTCTCTCTCTCTCTGGCCATCTCCTCAATCTTCTTCAACTTGGCCGCCTGTTCCTCCATCAGGGCCTTCTTCTTGGCCTCCTTCTTCTCTCTTCTCTCCTTCGTGAGGGCAGCGACTTTCGCCTCTTCTTCGGCTGTGTAAGGGGAGGTGCTCCGGCCACTACGCGTGTCAACCATGGTGACAGGTGCACAACCAAGTGACAGTTTCGCTCCTCACCACTTAGACTCTCCCCTGACTGACTCAACCTAAAACCAACTCAATCTATGGACCACAGGGTTCGTTGAGAGCCCTGTCAACTATGGTCTCTAGCCTAGACTCTAATACTACAACCGTCACTACAAAACCTGTTGCTGACTAGGAGGCATTTAAGGAGATCCCCGTAACTCCTCAGGAATTCTTTAACGTCGCAGACAGGACGACGCGGTCAGCAGGTTCTCTCAAGACTTAGACGACCTGTTGTGCAGCCCACATCTCGGATTTTGGGCCTACCGTGCCACACCAAGCAGCCCGCCGGTCAGTACCGGTCCTTGGGAGGGTTCGTGTCCTCCGGGACAGTCGAGTCGTCAGACACAGCTTTTAGCCCTACTCATCCCGTGTGGGTTTGGTCAATGAGGCCCTATCCTTCATACACGGAGTTCCTATCACCTGGACAGAAGAGACTCTATGCAGAAAGAAGAGACAAACAGACTCAGACTCAGCAAGTACCATAGGGTGAGTGCACATCCATAGGGCGAGGGGATAAGCTGAGGGCTTGGCGAGATTATACCAACTCCAGCTTGGTCAAAGTCGTGGTCAACCCTCCGGTCAACGCCTTGGTCAACGCTCGGTCAACCCTCTGGTCAACGTCTGGTCAACCCTCTGGTCAACGCTTGGTCAACCCTCTGGTCAACGCCTGGTCAACGCCCGGTCAACCCTCTGGTGAACGCTTGGTCAACCCTCTGTCGGCTATGGCTGCCGGCACCTTCTTCCTCGCCAACTTTCACTCTCTTTCCCCCTCCTTCGCCCTTCTTCTTTCTCTTTTTTTTTTTTTTTTTTGTGTGTGTCCACCCCCGGCTACGGCTGACTTCGACTTCGTTATCTCTCCTTCCTCTTTCCACGGCTATGTCTTCCCCTTCCTCGCCGGTCTCTCCTTCTCCTCGACTTCCCCCTCCTTTGTTAACCCCGTGTCCGAGCTCCGCGGCTATGGCCGCCACTCCCTTCTTCGTCGAGCTGCACAGCCAATCTTGTATCACTCAACTCTCTCTCTCTCTCTCTCTCTCTCTCTCTCTCTCTCTCTCTCTCTCTCTCTCTCTCTCTCTCT